TAAGACAGCAGCACTTTAACGGTTGCATAAAAAGGTCTAACTGTCCCTTTACATTACATCAATAAAAAGCAAAAGCAATGATTATATTACAGACTTGGGTATTTACTTATCATGAACAGCCTCACCCTGGCCTCATGGAGATGAGCCTCGCTAATCAATGCAGCCATGTGTACCATGGCCTCATTGGGTTCCTCAAAGACCCTCACTTCAGGGTTGAGGGACATGGCATAAATAATACAAACAATACACAAATTAGGAGTGAGAGAGTGATTAAAGAGAAAGTGAGAGAGTGATAGAAAGAGAGACAGTGAGAGAGAGAGTGGCTCTTAAAAGTGCCGTTGGTTTTATATATGTGTGTGTGTGTGTGTGTGTGTGTGTGTGTGTTTGTGTGTGTGTTGTGTGTGTGTGTGGTGTGTGTGTGTGTGGGTGGGTGGTGTGTGTGTGTGTGTGTGTTTGTGTGTGTGTTTGTGTGTGTGTGTGTGTGTGTGTGTGTGTGTGGATATGTGTGTGTTGGTGATATTAAGTGTTGTAATGAAGCTGTAAAACAGAAAAAAACATGATTAGGATTATTTAGAATAACAGTAACATCTGTGTAATACTCTATGCAATAATAATTCATCTGAGCAATACTCTGGCATACATTATGCATTTATACTGTGCATATTGTTATATTATGCACTTGTACTTGTTTCTTATATCTTCTACTATATATTTAAATTCTACAATGTAACAATCCCAATTTCCCCCGGAGATCAATGAAGTATTTCTGATTCAGAGTGGGACATTGGGTGGCCAGTCAAATCCTCTGGAAAACTCCAGTTCCACATTTTTGTTCCACTCCATAGCCGATGCATTAGCCACTATTAAAACTGTGTTGAACACTGTCTTTACAACACATGTGCAAATACATAAATGTAAACATATTTTTCTAGCACGCACCTCCACTATCCAACTGTGCCGGTGACAGCTAATGTAATTTAGCTGTATAAACTATAAATGCTATCCAGCTCAAAACGTTGACCGGAAGGCCTAGCTGAACGTGGCCGCTAGTTGGCCTATTGTAAAAGCTAAACACACTACAAAACTCAAACTAATATCCAGGAATGAAACGCTATAGAGACTGTGCTACAGTGGAATAATAAAAAAGCAATATTATTCGTGTTTTAAAGAAATAAACTCCCCTTGATTTTAGATACTTACTGTTGTCCGTTGTCAGATGAAATTAATGAAAGTGAGGTGATTGTGGGTAACGTGGCTACGTCACGTTAACGTAAAGCGCGACGTAACGTTGCCGGGGTAACTACGGAATCTTCTTCTGGTTTATTGTTGTTATAATAAAAATGATTATTATTACTATTAAACAAAAAGCATTTCAAATACAGTCAGTAGCCAGTGGGGGGAGTGGTTTTTTCTCCATCATTATCATCATTGTATATGTTTTAAATGGCTAATATTGGCCTACAATACCCCTTTATTGATCAAATAGGAATATAATTGTCTTTTAAATAACGTAAACTAAAGGGAACAATCTATTTGACACAGCTGAAGCTCTGGCCTTCCTTAAAAACTAAGTAATTTAATAAAAATCACAGTTGTATTACACACAATGCACTGTTTTTTGAGAACAGAAATTGATAAATAATGCACCATAATACATTCTGACGAAAAAATAAAAATTATATGTATGAATACAAATAAATAACGAAGTCTCCCGTGAGTTACTACGGTTACTACAAGCTATAAGTAGATTTAAAAAACGTTTTAGCTCACTGCAGGACATTGTAGAAATGCATGTGTGCACCACGACAAAGGAGCCTCATTCACTTTACATTGGGGGTTGTTTGCGTGGTGCAGACACGTAAATGTAACAAAGTTATAGTGACTCCACCATGCAATGTGGTGGTTAAGAAGTCGTGGTGGAGTCACGGCATTTTTAAAATGGTTAATATTGGCCTACAATACCCCTTTATTGATCAAATAGGATAAATTGTCTTTTAAACAACGTAAACTAAAGGGAACAATCTATTTGACACAGCTGAAGCTCTGGCCTTCCTTAAAAACTAAGTAAGCTTTAATAAAATCACAGTTGTATTACACACAATGCACTGTTTTTTGAGAACACAAATTGGTAAATAATGGCACCATAATACATTCTGATGAAAAACAAAATTATTATGAATAACAAATAAAATAAAAGAAGCCTCCCGTGAGTTACTACAAGCCTATAAAAGTAGATTTTAAAAACGTTTATAGAATAAAAGCTCACTGTTGGACGTTGTAGAAATGCGTGTGTGCACCATGACAAAGGAGCCTCATTCACTTACATTGGGGTTGTTTTGCGTGGTGCCGACACGTAAATGTAACAAAGTTAGTGACTCCACCACGCAATGTGATGTTAAGGAGTCGTGGTGGAGTCACGCATTCTGGTGAGATCAGGTTGTGGCCACCCCTGCATTAGGAGGTTACATTACTCTCTCTCTTCTCTTGATCACCCTCTCTCTCTTCTCTCTCTCTCTTCGTCATATGATGATGACACCCCATAATTGACGTGGAGCTGTTGAGGGCAGGACCATTAACCTTTATCTGAAGTCTGCTGCTCTGAGCATGTCAGTTGGAGTGATGACATCGTGTTCCATTACACCAGGTGTTTATATTTGAGCTAACGAGGTGTGCAGAGATCACAGGTTTCCATGTTCTGAATGAGAGATAAACCTCTTACATGTGAACGTTTTGTGGAAGAACCGTAACAGATATCTGTGAAATTTCAAAACGTGAAGCATGTCAAGGAAGTTGAGTATCTGAAGTGTAATTTTCGTCTACTTTCGGGTTAATAATGTGGCCTTTTTGGCAGTTTAACTAAAGGTGTGCGGCTGCTGCCGTGAGGAAATATCTGCCTGAAATTACAATGGGCTTCAATGGAGGCATGTTGAACGTTGTTGTCACTTCATGCCCTCACGAGGCATTTTGTTTGATTATTATTGCTTAATTTTTATCTTTCAAGCTACGAGATGTTTTCCTACGTTTGTCATGATAAATGATGTCTCAGGAATGTAGGGTTTGGGAATTATGGCAGTTTAAAAAAAATATATGAAGGCAAATTTCAAGATTTCCTACCCTCTAGCTGTGACATCACGCACTCTAGTTAATGTTACAATCTGAAGAAAGCCTCTGTACCAAGGTCTGAACAATGTTTAATATCTCTAAAAGTAAGAATCAGATTTAAAAGTTGTGTTATACGAATAATGTCAGAAATATGTGTAACATTTTAAAGTTAGAATGAGGTTTCTGAGTGAAAGTATGAATGAACAGTTAGCAGTTGAAGTCGCATGAAGATTAGTTGAAGTCTGAAGATTTTCTCTGTTGACTTCCATGTTAAAATGTGATGAATTATGGGATGTATCTCTGGAATTATGAAAGTTATGAATGAAAAAAAGTATTGGCCTGCGATTGCCGACCGAGCTGAACGTTTTGATGTTCGAACGGAGTTTCTGCGATGTTCAATGCGGTAGGAGAAGAGGGCCAATAATAATACACTTTTTGTGCGTAGAATAACATAGTGGGAATGCTGTAATCAGCATTCCAACTAAAATATGGCAGAAAAGGTGGAAGGAAGATCAGAAAGAGAGGAGATACCACAAGTTACAGAAATCAGTCATAAATAAAGATCTATACAGAAAGGAACAGACGGGAGGAGATCATCACTAGACTCAGACTGGATCATACAGGATTAAACGGCACAATGTTTATAATGGGAAAAGCAAAGTTGAAGAATGCAGGGGTGTGGGAGTGAAAGAAAAGCAGCTAAAATCTTGCATAGGGCAGCAAATTGGCCGGCCCTGACACTGGGAACAGAAGGTGAGGGGGTAAGAGCTACCAGGAAGGGAGTGGAGCCTGATGGGGACACTGGGAACAGAAGGTGAGGGGTAAGAGCTACCAGGAAGGGAGTGGAGCCTGATGGAGACACTGGGAACAGAAGGTGAGGGGGTAAGAGCTACCAGGAAGGGAGTGGAGCCTGATGGAGACACTGGGAACAGAAGGTGAGGGGGTAAGAGCTACCAGGAAGGCCATTCTTAAGCATTTGAGTGAAACAGGATTGATTGGAATAATTTAAAATAACGTAAACAACACAATGGTATAATTCTACAAGTGGTGATAGGATGATATGGTGATGCACTCCCTTGTACAGTAGGTGGCGGTATGCACCTTAAAGCTGTTTGCAATCCGCGAAAAATCGAGAGAAGAAGAAGAAGAAGAAGAAGAAGAAGGATCCACGTGGCGTCTCGTCGCTACGGTTCTCTCTCTCTGTGTGTTCCTGAGAAAGTGTGTGTGAGCTCCAGCTCTACTGATCCATCATCTGTGTGTCTGGATTAAACCTCCGAATGGACTGTGTGCTCTTTTTCTGGAGCGTTTACCTCGGACTATAGGAGCTAGCTTAGCATGCTAGCTGGAAACACGTTAGCACACTAGTCAGATTGAGAGTTTGATGCAGAGAGAAACGGTGTGTTTAACGGAGTCTGCAGGAAAAGGTGATCTAGGGAAACATGAGTAAAGTCCAAATGCTGCTGTCGTTGAAGAAGCAGCGACTCACTGCTGCTAATGAAGAGATATTTGCTCTGTTTGAACAAACAATAGCAGAGCTCGAGGAGGAGCTGTTTCTTTCCAAAGAGGAGAACAAGAGACTCCAGAAACTACTGGACGCTGTTTCACAGCCTCAGCTTCGGATACACAGAGCAGGTCTGTTCCCTTTACCCTTAATTAACACTTTACACTCTTCAGTAGCACTTTATTATCACATTAATAACACTTTAGACCCTTTATCAGCACTTGCTGCAGGTAGTAGATCCTGAAGTAAAAGAACACCACACTGTGAAAATACTCCATTACCAGTTAAAGTACTGCATTCATATCTTATTTAAGTAAAAGTATGTAAGTATTATTAGACACATGTACTTATTATAATAATTAAATGTATTACGGAGAGCAAACCTACCAAATAAATATATTTATAAAAATACATACTGTGTAGTGATCACTTATTAACACACTGACACATAATTCACACATGGAACTACAGGTTGGGGCTATTGTTTCAGCACGGACATATATGTGGTTACATATATATATTAGGGCTGTCAAGTTAACGCGTTAATAACGCGTTAACGCAAAACAAAATTAACGCCACTGTGACCGGACGTCACGTCTCCTCCCTCTGTGACGCTGCTTGGCACCATGCCAGCGCACCTGTTAATTTACGCACCTGCTATTTAAGTGGAGGAGACAAATCTGCTCCCTCCCCCTCCGCTTCTCCTTTGTGGCCGCGTGGATTGTTTGGCGTGGCAGCTCGCGCATCACACTCTCTACCAGACAGGTAAAACATCTTGCATTCTGTCATTTATTCATGGGCACGAGGGACACCCGGCTTGACACTACTCTGTCTTAGCGCAGCTGACGCCCGGTGCGTTTGAGGAGGATTGGCTCCTCCGGAGGTTCCCGGTCTTGCAGTGTTGCAACTATTGGCGAGTTGCCGTTGTCTGCCGTATTCTCACCTTCAGCTTGGTTCCTCTGGTGTACTGACTGTTATTCATGTCACAGTGGGATTTGGCCGTGGGATTGTTGGGTCTCTCTCTCCCTTCCCTGTGGGCTCTGTGGCTGCAACTGGCCGCACAGGCTGGTACGAAAACACGTGGGTTTGCTGTCCTGGCTCCAAGATGGTGGAATGAGCTCCCCATTGACATCAGGATGGCAGATAGCTTGCACATCTTCCGGCGCAAACTGAAAACTCATCTCTTTCGACTCCACTTCGAGCGTTAGAACTATTAACGAAGCACTTTTATACTAATAAAGGGCTGGCTTACCTAAAGCCAGTTGAGTAGCACTTGAAATGTTTGGCTCTATGAAACCTGATGTACTTATATGATTCTGTTTTCTTCAAGGTTGTGTCTTCCTGGTCGAATGTACTTATTGTAAGTCGCTTTGGATAAAAGCGTCAGCTAAATGCAATGTAATGTAATGTAATGTAATAATGTATGTATGAATTTCCCCATAGATAACTTTTAATTCAATAAACTTAAGTAGGTTATTCACCAGTCATTTTAAACCTCTTTCCAGGGGTGCCATAAACATTCTCCCTTCCTGGTGGGCTCTGTGGCAGCGCCTAGCTGTAAAAGTTGGGATGCCGTAACCACTCTCCCCACCTCTGGTCATCATTCCCCAGCCAGACAGTGGGACATTGTACGAGAAGTCAGCACACTAAGCACACAGCATCCAGGCAGCTCCCGTTCGAGCATATGACCTTGAGTTGCACATAGCTCCAACGATCCATCACACGCACGCACGCACGCACACGCACACGCACACGCACACACACACACACATACATACATACCAGAGTTCCCGTTACCCGGTAATTACCGGACTACGACCGGTAAAATATGTTGAAGACCGGCAAATCTAAATCTCTCCGGTCAAAGTGTCCGTTCAAAATAATTTCCGTTTAGCGCAATATTACATCAGTTGCGCAACTTGCGCCATTTATGTGACAGACAAAAGAGTATGTGACAGACAAGAATAGTCAATTCTAATGTCTAACACGTAATGTGGAGAAAGAGATGTCCTGTATGGGTGAATTGTGCGTTGATCTGTTGGTAATGCCTCGGGGTTCCGGTGGGCATGTAAACAAATGCATATGCGGTTGCATATGCGGTTGCATAGCGACGCTTATTGTTTCGGTGTCTTTTAATAAGCAGGTAGTCCTATCATTAGCTAGATCTGATCGATATGGACATAAACACGAGTGAAGTCTAATCTGACGGGAGACAGAGATCAGCTGCTGCTGACGAGTCGACACGCAGCTCTGCATGATCACATGCAGCGGTGAGCGGAACAAAGCACACACCAAGTTAGAATAGCACACGTAGGCCTAGCTATTTTAATGACCTCTCAAACTACCGTAACTAGTTATAGATATGTTTAGTTTTACTGTCGGGTCACTCATTACTGATCCGCGAGCTGCATGATACTGACGGGCTGTCAGGAGAGGGAGAGCGCTCCGTTTATTATTCCCGTGTTATTGTAAGTTACTGTTCACTTTTGAATAATGTAGTTAATCTACTATAATTAGTTTGTTTAATATCGAATCATATCAATTTCTTTTAAAGCACAATAAATAACAAAGAAGACCTTTGACTGGCACTTTTCTCATTTTGTCCGGAAGATTTAAACTTTAACGGACATGTTGACCGGCGAAAACATATTCTAACGGGAATTCTGACACACACACACACCATTTTTATTGTATTAGGTTCCAGGTTGAATTGAGGCGAATATTTGTAATGTTCAGAGGTTGTTGTGTTTAATATTCATGAGAATATTTGTCATTGTTCAAATGATAATAAACATTAGCATAAAACATATTTGTCTACTCATATGTTGATAAGAGTATTAAAAACTTGAAAAATATTCCTCTAAGGTACATTTAAAACAGATCAAATATGTGCGATTAATCGCGATTAACTATTTTAATCGACTGACAGCCCTAATATATATATATATATATATATATATATATACATATACAGTGGGGCAAAAAAGTATTTAGTCAGCCACCAATTGTGAAAATTCTCCCACTTAAAAAGATGAGAGGCCTGTAATGTTCATCCTATGTATACCTCAACTATGAGAGACAAAATGAGAAGAAAAAAAATCCAGAAAATCACATTGTCTGATTTTTAAAGAATTTATTTGCAAATTATGGTTATCTCTAAAAATGCCGATCGCGAGAGCATGAAGTAAAATAATGACGTAAAATACATGACACTTTTCTCTGTGCGCGGCAAAACAAGCTCACCAAAATGGCTTCACCAGTCTGGCAGTATTTTAAGGTGTCGAAAAGGACAACAAAATAGCGGTATGCAACGTGTGTGAAGCAGAAATCCTGCAGCTCCACCCGCTGTGACGGACCTGTGAGCGAAACACACACTAAGAGTTAGACCTAAGACACTTAGCTATTTTATCTACCTCTGGAACAAGCTAAACTAGTTATACATATGTTTATTCTTCACTGTCGGGTCACTCATTACTGGATCAGTGAGCTGCATGAGATACTGACAGGCTGTCAGGAGAGAGAGAGGGGGGGGAGAGAGAGGTTTGATTTGATTGATTGATTGAAAAGTTTATTAACAGCTTGTATATTGGGTACAGTACAGTACAGCTCAAAACATACAATTGTTAAGGGGATGCAGACCAGAGAAAGACTTTCGTCTCGTTTACATCAGGGTCCCCCATTTCCAATTCATCATATCATTTAAGACATATTTGACATACAGATGGCTTATTTACAATTTACATACAGGTGGTTTTTTACATACAGATTGCTTGTTTACAATTTTCATTTTAGATTTCTTTCTAATACATCCTAACCGGACATTTAAGACATACCAAGTCTACAGATATACAGTTAGTAACAGTCTAAAATGCGAGTATATACATAGATGGCGGGGGGGGGAAGCTGTCCATTGAACGACAGGTTGAGATTTGTACCATTACCGGGGCCAGTTTTGCAATGCTCTCCCCCGAAGGTGCTCTTTAAGAGAGGTTTTGAAGGTAAGTATAGTTTTACTTTCCTTTACAGTTGTGGGAAGAGCGTTCCACCTTGATGTGGCATAATTGTGAAACGTGTATTCCCCCTTTTTTGTGCCAAATCTGGGTTTCACATGATTTGTGGAGCTCCCTCTGGTGTTATGATCATGGTATTCCTTGACCTTTGGGAAGAATGTTGACATGTACATGGGTACCATAGAGGTGTAGTGGATCTTGTAGACCAGTCCATTTGCAAGTAGCTGTACTCTGTCGTCTACTCTAAGCCATCCTAGGTTGTCAAAGTGGGCAGAGGTGAGGTGGGTTCTAGATGAAAGGTCAAGCAGTAGTCTGACCAGTTTATTTTGCGATGTTTGAAGTTTTATTTTTAGTGCCTTGGAGGTGCTATGGTACCATGACGTGCAAGCATAGTCATAGTACCCTTGAATGAGTGCTCCTGCCAGAGTTTTCAGGGTGTTTACCAGAGAGGAGATCCGGTATAGGAATCTAGTTCTTTGATTGACTTTTTTTATTACATTGGATGCCATTTTGTCACAGGAGAGGTTTGCCTCAAGAATAGATCCTAGGTATGTAATTTCCTTCTTACTTGTGACAATAATGTCGCCCACTGCAACTGAGAAGTCGTCGGATTTGCTGAGATTATGTTTCGAACCGAAGAGAATGGACTCTGTTTTACCCAGGTGTAATGATAATTTATTATCGGCGAGCCAGGTGCAGATTCTGCCGAGCTCGGAGCTGAGGGTTTTTTTCAACCTGCAACCTGTTCCTGTCAGAGACCAGCAGGGCTGAGTCGTCCGCGAACAGGAACAAGTTGCAGTCACATGCTGATGACATGTCATTTACATAAATTAGGAACAGTAACGGACCTAATATGCTTCCTTGTGGAACACCACAGCTCACTGAGAGGGGGGGGGGGCAGAGTACCGTTTACCTCCACCATCTGTTCTCTCCCCTCCAGGTAGGATTGCATCCAGCTCACCGATAGTTTATCAAAACCAATTGCTTTTAGCTTGTCAATCAGAATGGGGTGATTGACAGTGTCGAAAGCCTTTTGTAGGTCCAGCATCACCATGCCGCAGTACTTGCCCTCGTCCACCTCTTGTTTGATGTGGTCGCTCAAATAAAGAAGGCATGTGTCAGTGGAGTGGGATGTTCTAAAGCCAGATTGAAATTCATAGATTAGTTTATTTTCCGCGAGGTACTTTTCGACCTGTTCATATACTATTTTTTCCATGACTTTCGAGATGGAGGTAAGTATAGAAACAGGGCGGTAGTTGCCTCGGTCCAATTTGCTGCCCTTTTTGTGCAGGGGGGTTACTCTTGCAATTTTGAAGTCTTTGGGTACTTTTCCCTGTTTTATGGAGAGGTTAATTATGTGAGCTATGACTGGTGAGATGGCGGTTGTTGTGTCTCTGAGGAATTTGGAGGGGATATTGTCGTGGCCAGTGGCCTTGTTAGGTTGGAGGGCGCTCAGTTTAATGAGTACCTCTGCTGTTGTTACCCTTGCTAGACTGAAATCATCTTTGCGTACCCCTAGGTTTTTTGTAGTAGGTCATGATGTGATCTACTCCAAAAAGCCCTGAGTGGGAGGGTAATTTATTTACAAGAGTTGTGGCTATGTTTGTGAACAAAATGTTCAAGTACTTGGCCACATCCAGTTTGTCTGTGATGAGCCTGTTATCTGTCTTTATGTTTAAGTTAGAAAATCTCGTTTTGAGTTTTTTACTGCAGCCAAGCTGGTTATTGAGTAATTTCCAAAGTTCACAGGGTTTATTTTAGTTTTCCTCAGTTTTGACATTGATGAAATTCTTTTTGGCAGTTTTGATCATGGAGCTTACGTCATTTCTTAGTCTGTTTCTTTCAATTTTGAGTTCAGTCACGTGGGCCTGGAGTTCACTGCTCGTGCTTTTGGAAAGCATTGACTGACTTTTATGAAACTCAGAGCATTTTTTGTCTCTGGTTTTCATGGCGGTCAGTATGCCGGAGTGCATCCACGGCTCAGCGCGATTTTTTACCCTGGTTGTTCTTAGGGGGGCCAAATCATTGAGTATTGCAGAGAATTTGTTTTTGAAACCAAGCCATGTTTCTTCAACTTGTGTACCACTGAGCTCATCTGACCAGTCCAGGCTCTCCAGTTCTAGGTTAAAGGCCTCGCTAGAGTAGTTTTTGAGGTCTCTAGATATGACTGTTTTGTGACAGCCGGCCCTTTGTTTTAGCTTTTTGCGGGTACAGAATATCATATAATGATCACTTAAACCGCATGCTATAACCCCTTTACTGGAGATCCTGGACTTGTCAGAGGTCAGAATGAGATCAATGGTAGTTTGTGTTGTTTCACATACCCGGGTGGGTTGGGTGATTAGCTGGCTGAAGCCGTGCAGATCACAAATCCTACTGAAGGACTTGAAGACGGACGTGTCTTACTGCACCATCATTACTGTTACATAGGAAGGTGCAGTCAAATGTTGTGTTAATACTTGCATACTTTTACTTAAAGAAGGTTTGAATGCAGGATTTTAATTTGTAACAGTATTTTCATTCTATACTGTAGGAGTAGTGTATCTGTGAACAAGCCCGCCTTAACCTGCCATCAGGCCCTGGGGCTGAACAAATCAAAGTCATTTATAGCCTCGGCAGGCTCTGTGATTGTACTTCTCCACTCTGCTCTACGCATGCCTGGTCCTCTCCTCCAGATGAGTGACGTTTTGGGCCTCCCTAATGTATTTGTCCGGTTGCCGTTGGCTCCCCTCCACGTAGCAAGTCCTCGTCGTCCTCTCCATCTCCTCCAACAGATAATGTCCCTCCTGTCTGTTTTTCCTCTCCCGCCACTCCATCGCTATCAGAACCAGACGGCCTACTTGGCTCCGAAGCCCCTCGGCCGGCACCGCTGCCGCTCGGTACAGAACTCATCTGTCCTTCCTCCTCATCCTGGCCTACAGGTTTAAAATAACCTGTAGGCTTCGGCATTTTTTGTAATAGCTGCTTGTCTCAAAACTCCTTTTCCTTTTCCGATTGCACTCTCAAACTTTTTCTTCTCAAACTTTTTTCTCCTAAACAACCTTCATCTGTCACTCAATCACTCGCAATTTGAATAAGTCACATGTGAAACATATTCTCATTCTGATTGGCTGTTAAGTGGTGCCCACTGACTGTTTCGGAGTCATCATTTTTGAGAAAAATCTCTGGAATCCATAGATCTGATTGATTAGCGGAGCAAATGATCAAAATACTACGGAGGGAAGATATTTTCTTGTGTGTGTGTGTGTGTGTGTGTGTGTGTGTGTGTGTTGTGTGTGTGTGTGTGTGTGTGTGTGTGTGTGTGTGTGTGTGTGTGTGTGTGTGTGTGTGTGTGTGTGTGTGTGTGTGTGTGTGTGTGTGTGTGTGTGTGTGTGTGTGTGTGTGTGTGTGGTGTGTGTGTGTGTGTGTGTGTGTGTGTGTGTGTGTGTGTGTGTGTGTGTGTGTGTGTGTGTGTGTGTGTGTGTGTGTGTGTGTGTGTGTGTGTGTGTGTGTGTGTGTGTGTGTGTGTGTGTGTGTGTGTGTGTGTGTGTGTGTGTGTGTGTGTGTGTGTGTGTGTGTGTGTGTGTGTCACAAGAAACACCGGCTGTTGTTATGCTTGCTGTGACGTCAAGTTACTCCGTTCTCCGCTTGTAATTATGCTGTTACAAGCTTCAAAGTTGTATTTATCATCTGAATTTGCCGAAACAAGTTTAATATTCTGAAAGCCAAGACTTTGTTTATTTGAAACCAGATGAAAACAAACTGTAATGGACACTGCCGTGTTATCTATGATTACTATACGCCTTACATTCATAATTTCAGCGGAGGGAGGGGAACAGCAGAGTGGCGAGGGAGAGCTGTCTTCTTCCCTTTACAAGCTTCAAAAATGTATTTATCGTATGATTTTGGAAATCAAAGTTTCATATTCTGAAAGCCAAGACTTTGTTTATTTAAAATGTTAAAAAAACATCCGAAATAAAAAAGTTTTTTTTTTTTTTTAATTGGCTCATGATAGGCCCCCGATCTTCGTAGACCCCTGGGCTTCAGCTCAGGTCAGCCCGTGCATTACGGCGGCCCTGTCTGTGATCGATCCCAAATACAATTCATTGTTTACATTGCAGCTAGTGCTATGCCAGAAGAAAAAACCCTTTTTTCATTTTTAACTGGAAGTGGAAAAATACACAATAGGTGGGACTAAGAAAGATAATGTGAAAATATAAAAACAAAGGCATTAATTAGGGCTGCAAAATGTCTCCCATTGTAATGGTGATGAGAGTTTTAAATGCTAACATGTAACAGTTTGTTCTGACTGTGTTTCCTGTTTCCTGCAGACGTCCAGCAGCTGGTGGTGGTTAAAGAAGAGCTGCTCCCTGACCAGCAGGAGTGGAGGACCAGTCTGGACCAGGAGGACCCAGAGCCCCCCCCACACATTAAGCAGGACCAGGAGGGAGAGCAGCTTCAGGAGCTGGAGGAGGCTGATATCACCAAGTCCACTTTCACTCCTGACCCTGTGAAGAGTGAAGATGATGATGAAGAGAAACCTCAGTCCTCTCAGCCTCATCAAAAACAAACTGAACACATGGAAACAGAAGCTGATGGAGATGACTGTCGAGGACCAGAACCAGCCAGGAACTCAGATCCAGAGAGCAGTTTACAACCAAAGACTGAGGACTTTTCTGGACCTGACACTGGAGACTCTTCTGAACCTGACAATGAAGACTCTTCTGAACCTGACACTGGAGACTCTTCTGAACCTGACACTGAAGACAGTGCTGATTGGAAAGAGACCAGAGAACCTGCATCAGGCTCAAACTCACAGAAAAATAGACATGAATCTTTCAGTGGTCCACGACGTAGTGCTGAAAAGAAAACATTCTGCTGCTCAGTCTGTAAGAAAGCTTTTTCACATAGTGGAAATGTAAAGAAACACATGAGAATCCACACAGGAGAGAAACCATTCAGCTGCTCAGTCTGTAATAAAGCTTTTCCACAAAGTGGACATTTAAAGTCACACATGAGAATCCACACAGGTGAGAAACCATTCACCTGTACAGTCTGTAAGAAAGCTTTTTCACATAGTGGAAGTTTAAAGGACCACATGATAATCCACACAGGAGAGAAACTATTCAGCTGCTTAGTCTGTAAGAAATCTTTTTCACGGAGTGCAAGTTTAAAGTCACACATGATAATCCACACAGGAGAGAAACTATTCAGCTGCTCAGTCTGTAAGAAATCTTTTTCACGGAGTGGAAATTTAAAGTCACACATGAGAGTCCACAAAGGAGAGAAACCAGTCAGCTGCTCAGTCTGTAAGAAAGCTTTTCCACATAGTGGACATTTAAAGATACACATGAGAGTCCACACAGGAGAGGAACAATTCAACTGCTCAGTCTGTAAGAAAGCTTTTCCACATAGTGGACATTTAAAGATACACATGAGAGTCCACACAGGAGAGAAACCATTCAGTTGCTCACTCTGTAAGAAAGCTTTTTCACAGAGTGGAAGTTTAAAGGACCACATGATGATCCACACAGGAGAGAAACCACACAGCTGCTCAGTCTGTAAGAAAGCTTTTTCACGGAGTGGAAGTTTAAAGGACCACATGATAATCCACACAGGAGAGAAACCACACAGCTGCTCAATCTGTAAGAAAGCTTTTTCACAGAGAGGACATTTAAAGTCACACATGAGAATCCACACAGGAGAGGAAAAATAGATCTGCAAAGTTTGTGACAAAATATTTAAATGGCGTAATCGTTTAAGAAGACCAAGTGTGTTAAGGGAATACATTTATCTATTTTGTATCCTGATGCCGTTACATGTCATACGTTACTCCCTAAGCCTGTTTTCACCCACCTGCAACCGATTCACTAATAATCACAAATGTTAATTTCTACGACCCCTTGACTCGACTATTTCTTGTTTAATATTTGTTACATCTACCCAGGACTAAGTTCCCATGTCCTGCCTTTCACCTACTGATCACCCACTGCTCATTTAAGGTGGACTCACCTTTATAAGGGACCAGCTAGTCTTAGTGTCTTATGGCACATTTCCACTGCAGCGGGGTAGCCCTGTTTAAGCGTCCCTAAGCGTCCTCGCTCAGGCCTCGGGCTGCCTCACTGGCCGTCCGAGGCCGTGGCGCATTTCCATTACAGTTTAGGACCTGGGGTAGCAACGCAGTGTAGGCGGGGCGATCGTTTTTTTGGCGGGCTTTTTGTGCGGAGAGACGCTGGGTAAAATTGCAGTGGCGTCATCTTCAATGCGACACAACTCACAAAACAATGGAGGATGTGGAAGCGATCGTTTACTTGTTTCTTGGTGTGTGGCTTGTTATCACAGCAAGAAGGAAAGTGATCACAGCAAGCAGGAAAGTGATGTTTCAAAGTAGGCTGCGTATAGCAAGACGAGATGCAGATCTTGTGACGATTCTCTCTGATCAATCGGCAGCCGAGAGTGTTGACGTCACTAGTTCAGCCCTGGCCTGATAGAACCACGATTTTATGGGGCCGGAACAAGAGGGGAAAAGTACCCGCTAGTCGGTGCTACGCTATATGGAAAGGCCACCAAATGCTGGCCTGGCCACTTGAGGACGATTAAGGACGCTTAAACGGGTTTATGGAAATGGCAATGCGCCATTAATGCAAACGTTTTGTAAAGTAATGCTAGACCAACAACGTGCTATTGGGCTGTGTGCTCTCTGCAGGACGGTGTCTGTACACAAAGATTGTTAATGAAATGAGAGCTTCATTCTGTTTTTGTTGTCTAAACAACGCCAACAGAGCGACACGTCTTCTTTCCAGCAGATGGCATAAATGTTACATCATGCAGTTCAACTGTCATCCACATATTAGAGATTCAAAACAGCAATGTGTGAGATAAGGCTAGTAATTGACTATTTCAACAGAATGTGAAGAGGTTACAGTCTTGAGGTCATGTCCAATATGTTTGTGTTTTGTTTGATTAAATCGACTGAAATTTGTATTCAATGACTCAATTATTCTTAATTACTGTCATTACATCATGGGTTTGCATTGCAATATTAGAACGCATTAAAATCCAACTTTATTTCTTCCAAGTTGCGGGTGTTCATTGTTTAGAAGTCCGCTGTGTTTTATCCAAGCTTCCAATGCGTGCTCCGATAATGCTGAAAGTATCTGTTGTATGCTTTACCTGTTACATTACACTTTACCAAGTGTAATTGACTGGAGAGAGACAATAGCTAGTGGATGGATCCAGAGGAGAACTAGAAGATAGTCTGCATAGAGCCTTCAGGCTCTGAAAATGAACAGGGATAGAACTAGAAAAAAACTCCAAAAACCTGAATAGAGCTAGAAGATAGCAAAGCCAAGAAAGACCCAGACAGGAAGGAGTCAAAATAGTTTGTATTTTGTATTTTTTAATATTCAAGCTCTTCTCTTAAGATATTAGATCTTCCTATCTCAACATGTATCCTTTTATGCATTAAAAAAACCTTACATTTTTGCTGCCAATTATTGAGATTGTTTCACAGCTTTATCTTAAATATTTAGACTTTTGTCGTTACATATAGATTACATAGGATGAACAGCACGATCCACTCTGCTGGATTCTGCCCAAATCGGCTCCAAATGCATGCACACATCTCGCTGTATCCAAACTCCTGCAGTTGTATTGTTCTGGATTCAAAGTGAAGTGTATTAGATGTTCTGCACTCTTATTGTTATGTATTTAATATAAAGTGAAATACCCATAAATTCAGAAAAGAAAAGAGTCTCACTTAAGGAAAAAGGTTCTGAACCAGTGAGAGTTCTTCATTTGCACATAAACATCATCAAATATTTAAAGTTGTGACCAGAGGCCTGTACTACGAAGCAGGATGTTCGCTTAGCCGGCTAACTTCAGGGAAAACTCCGGCTTTCCGGTCCTACAACGCTGGTTCTCTTTTTAGCGGGCTAGATCTCCATGGTAACTTATGCTGAGCGGCTTACCTGCCCCGGATTAGGTTAGGTTGCAGGCTAAGAGATCAATTCAGTGAAAGCACTGCCTGCTGACCAATCAGAGCTCAGTGTGCGGAGTTTAAAGCGATCAAGTCATATTACAGGAGAAAGGAAATACAGAACTGTGTGAACGTGAAAATGAATAGAATATCACCTCCCATCTTCAGAGAAATCTGACTATTAATAAATTAGCGTTAAGAAAGCTTACTTAAATATCTGCCACAACATAAGTAACTGGATCAGAGTAACATTAAGTACAGTCCGCGGCACTGTGAGTGCAGACGTCGATGTGTCCCATTATCATTAATATCACATCATAATATATCATATATCTCCTTATCTGAGTCAGCTGAGCCGTATCTGGCCGTGCAACACTCAGTGTCACATACTGTATGCAGAAGTATTATTTTAAGCAACACATTAAGTTGACGAAACACTCGAGACAAATGTAATTAAAGTCAGATCGTGTCTTAGACGGGGCAGTGATATCATAAACATGTTAATGTATGCATTCAAACACTTGTTCTGTTACCAGCTGTATTCACCTTGCAGGTGCAGCTCTGTGGCTTTGATCCTGGATAAAGTGTTTAAGTCATGGATGTTTAAAGTTTAACTTCTTCATATGTCTAATATTATAGTTGACTTTTCATTCAGGAAGTATGCTACAACATTGTGGAGTAGTTAGCTTAAACATGTTTTATTACTCTGCATACATGGGGGGTGCAGTTGTGCAGGACAGGAGACTAGATGGGGTAGGGGAGCAGAGAGGGAAGTCTGAAGAATGTGTGTGTGTGTGTGTGAAAGCTGCAGTAATATGAGACAGCGAACGCCAGATGTGTTTGTTTTGCTTCAAACTAAGGGACTCTTGTTTCCGGATCATCTCGGCTGGCGCGCGCTGATACGCTACGAAAGCCCCTCGTTTGTTTATGGACCAATAGATTAATGTATGGGAGTAGCATCCACACAGCTCCTCCCGTTGTTTTTACAATATCTCCTGTTGAGTCCTTGTGTCCGGTCTCTTTCCTCCTGCCGTCAAGATGATGATGTTCTCCCGGCATTTGGACCAGGGCAGGGGTGGGCCCACCCCTTTGAGAAGTGTATTGTATTCTTACCTTTTATCATTAAAACAGATTATTGTTTAACCCCTATCCTGGTTGTTTTGAGTTTTCCTTCTTTTAAAACACACTCATATAGGATCGGCGCAGAGCAGAGATATCTGCTCCAACAATATATAATGTGTGCCCTCCTGGCTCTTTCTCTTGTCGACCCGGACTGCAACCAGTCAACAGCTCTTTAATAAAGTACCATTTTGCACCTTCCTTGCACCGCCTCCAACTCCCTATCTCTCGGCACTACACTGGTGACCCTGATACGTATTGAGAAGTTTCCGGGACGGAACCGAACACGGCAAAAGGAACTTGAACTTGAGTTTCACGCGGTCTAGAGGCTCGGTGCGCGCCCCGCGGCATGGCTGGGGATGTTGCTCGCCATTCCCGCATCGGCCTTCCGGCAACAGGTGGACGATGCACGACCTGCTGGGTCGACCAGCAACCCGATTGCTACCTCGGGGGCTTATTTCTTCCCGGCTGCGCTAGCTGACGACGACTAGCGGCTAACCACGTGGGGCTAATGACGGCTAGCAGCTACCCATGGCTGCCAGTTAGCGGCTAACAGCTAGCGGCTAACGGCTGTCGACATATTTCTGTTAACATCTGACTGTTAACAATTTTCTTTCTGGTGCCGGAGAGGAGGTTCGACCAGCCGGTTGACCTCGTGTGGAGCCTCTTACATTTTTCACCACCTCAACGGCAGTTCCAGACGCCACTCACGTTTTCATCGGCGCCTGGGTGGTGCACTCCTGTACTCCGTCTCGCCTCGAAGGTTTCGGACGTCGGCCATGCTGCCATCGGCCCGTGGGTGGCGCGCTCCGGAGCCTGTCTGGCCTCTCCTGCCTTCCGGGGATATCCAGACGCCACTCACGTTTTCATTGGCGCCTTGGTGGCGCACTCCTGGACCCCCTCTTTCCTCGACAGTTCCGGACGTCGCCCATGCTCCATCGGCCCATACCTGTCTGTCTGAAGTGACAGTAAAGTGGGAGGTGCTGCTACCTGTCTGTCTGAAGTGACAGTAAAGTGGGAGGTGCTGCTACCTGTCTGTCTGAAGTGACTGTAAGATGGGAGGTGCTGCTACCTGTCTGTCTGAAGTGACAGTAAAGTGGGAGGTGCTGCTACCTGTCTGTCTGAAGGGACTGTAAAGTGGGAGGTGCTGCTACCTGTCTGTCTGAAACAGAGGTCGCGTTAACCGAATAATTTCCGTCTATGACGGATTTTTTTCACGATGACGGAAAAATCTGAAAACAGTCCGTCATTTTGACAGATTAGAACAAACTCGGAACAGCGCCAAAGTTTTCCTGCAGCGAGGCTCTGGTGTTATGCATGCCCTCTAAAAAGGAAATGATACCGTTTCCAAACCCAACTTTGCCGTACAAATCATTGAAATGTCTTGGAGTTTTGGCTTTACGCTGTGGGCACTCCCGCGTGGTGCAGTGGGCATGCATAACGCGTCGCTAACAGTTCACAAGCGTGCGCCCTGCCCCCCGTTGATAGTTCACGACTGTGCTCTCTCCCCCCCCGGTTGACAGTTCTCTCTCTCTCTCTCTCCCCCCCCCCCCCCCCCAGAATGTAAAGGCCGACGGGTAATACTGAATTTTGACGGAAATGTTACGATCCTGTCCGTCAAAATGACGGGCAGTGAAAAAGTCTAGCGCAACCTCTGGTCTGAAGGGACTGTAAGGTGGGATGTACTGCTACCTGTCTGTCTGAAGGGACTGTAAAGTGGGAGGTGCTGCTACCTGTCTGTCTGAAGGGACAGTAAAGTGGGAGGTGCTGCTACCTGTCTGTCTGAAGGGACTGTAAGGTGGGAGGTGCTGCTACCTGTCTGTCTGAACTGAAGGGACTGCCGATGTCCGCATGTGCAGGAGACGTGGAGGGAGGGTAGAGAGAGCAGAGGAACTTCCCAGTCTAATCTCCCGACCTGATATTTTTATTTTGTATCCAATCGATATATTTTTGGAAAGGGAAACTGTGCGCAAACAGAAGCAGATATACTGTATATTCATTTATTTAAAAAAAAAAGAAAAGGGTAACAAAAGGGCACTTTCTCTGGAGGAAGAAAAAGGGCAGGGGCTCAAGCCCACTTTGATGTCATGTGTGCACGTGCCTGGTGGGGACATTTGTCTTTATTATCATGTTTCATTTCCAGTTTGTTTTTCAGCTGTTCTTAAAAGATCTTTGTGCTCATTATTGTCTGTGTGTGTTTGTGTCCCCGGCATTCTCTCGTTTTAATCTGCACAAACAAACTGGAACTGGTTCATATCACAGTCTGATCCACGCGGCAGCTTCAGGCAACATGTTTGTCTGCAATAATTGGATTTATTTTAAATTAAACCTCACTGAGACGAGTCCTCAAACCAGAGAAGAAACTGCAGAGGAAAAATCTAAGTGAGGGTCGGATGCAGTGGCGACTGGTCATTAGGCACAGTCCCAACTAGTTTCAGCAGAAAGTCTTAAAAATAATGATTACAAAAAAATGCAAAAAATAAATATAAAAAATATATTTTAAGATCATGTTTAATCATCTGATTCGTCTCATTGCTGTTTTAGTCTGTGTTCTTCTAATTAGTGTCTACTGTGCCTATTGAGCTGTTTAGAGCCATGTGGGACAAAACCCGATCATGCCCCTCCCTCTCACTGTCTAAGTGAACGGTGACTGTAAAAACTACACTGCGCATGCTCAGAGTATTTTCCTATTTAATGTGTGTGGAAAAAAAATAATGACCAGAGGGGCATAGAGCTGCCATCCCCACCATACGTCATCTCACATAATTCAGAGCTGATTGGCTGTAAGTACGTGTGCCGCGAAAAGTGTGGTGTGTGAAGAGGAGACGAGAGAGGTGCAGTGACGCATCCTAAAACCCGGAAGTAAGCTGCGCATGGCTTCCCTCCACAAAAAAGCAATGAGATTTCTCCATAGGATTTTAGATACTTTTATCATTTTCGAATCATAAATCTATCGATTAGATTTATGATAGAC